CTGCTGGTGGTGACCCTCCACCCGGAGCAGTGCCGCCCTTCTTCCCGCACCAGGAGGGCGGCCATCCCTGCCTCTCGGGCTTCCTGCAAGAGCCTCTGCCACCGGCACCAGCTCTTCATCAACTTCCGGGACCTGGGTTGGCACAAGTGGATCATTGCCCCCAAGGGTTTCATGGCAAATTACTGCCATGGAGATTGTCCTTTCTCACTGACCACTGCCCTCAACAGCTCCAATTACGCCTTCATGCAAGCGCTGATGCACGCGGTTGACCCGGAGGTTCCGCAGGCTGTGTGCATTCCCACCAAGCTGTCCCCCATTTCCATGCTCTATCAGGACAACGATGACAATGTCATTCTCCGGCATTATGAAGACATGGTGGTTGACGAGTGTGGGTGTGGGTAGTCTGTCAGAAACAGAACAGGAGGCATGTTCTCCGGTAAATGTTAGAATAAAACTGTATGTCTGGTTTATGAGCTATTGGATCTGAATTGTCAGTGTATTTATGTTCAATCTGTCTTTCTGGAAAATCCATCATAAATGATGTCCTTAGTTACACACACACACACACACACACAGACACACACACACAGCCTTAATGACTAGTTACTTTCTGCATAGTCATTATCCACATGACAGTATATTAGATCCTAGATAGAAGGAACCTGGCATTTATGGATCGCCTATTATGGGCAAACATTATATGAGTTACTTAGAAACATAATTCACTCCTCCTTGAGGCAGGCATTAATATTTAGGCTTCGTAGATAAAGAAGCTGAGATTTAGAGCAACTGAATAACCTATTTTTCTAAAGTCATCAGCTTTCTCTGCCAGATCTCATATGCTAAATGTTACTTTAAAAAATTTGAGAAAATGTAAAATAATGTAGACAAATATACCAAAAACGGTACCTGATTCTGTCTGATTCCTATAGCTAAGATCACAGTGTACATGTAGCTTTCTACCTCTCTGCACTCACTTAACATGTCATGGGAATGTTTTTCACATCCCCAACGTCTACATAGTTAATTTAATGGCTATTTTACATGCAATGATCAGATACATATTTTACCTAAAAGAACGTTTATCACTGGACTTGGTTTTATTTGCAGTTTTCATGGCGGAATAGTGTTATGGGTCATTGTTCATGAGTCATTCTCCATATTTTATCCTTAGAAAAATTTCAGACATGGAATTACAGAGTTAAAAATATAAGTTGACTCTTCTATAATTAATATAAAACATGCTGGTCTTGAACATGTGTCTATTGGGTAAAATGCAAAATTCACATGGACTTCAAATATAAAACTCTAGACTTGGTAGGATACTTGGGGTTATGTCAGGTAGTATGAGGTAGGTTACATCACTTGTTAGGAGAACGAAAGAGGAAAAATTTGTGGATCACTGCTTTATTTAGCCCCGTCTTTAATTCCAACTGTCCCTACCTTAAATCAACCTCACCACTCTCACCTGGATTATTGCTACTATTTTTAACCTGATCTTTTGTTTTTATTTTAAATTTTTAAATGTCGAGTATTATAATTTAACTATATTACAAATACAGGCAAAAACTCCTGCATAACCCTCCCAGTCTTTTTTCCCATCCTCCTGATGAAACCACCATCCTGCATTGGCGTCCATTTTCCCCTTCATTTCTTTATAGCTTCACTCCATATATTTGGATCCATAAACATTATGAAGCATTGGTCCGCAAATACGTAAATTTTATAGAAACAATATTGCAGGATATTTTTCTACCATTTTTTTCTCAATGTATTTCATAGATTTTTGCAGGTTGATATAGGTATGAATATAACTGATATTTTTCACTGCTGAAAAGTAATCCATTATGTGCATGTTACACTGATTTACCCATTATGCTGTTACTGGACACTGAGGACATTCAAATATTTCTATAGAACAGACACAAAATCTCTCGGCAATCTGTCTAGCTAGAACTTTACTTCAGCGTAGGGCAGCGGTGAATATGGACAATTTGTAAGGAGAGTGAAGAAGAGGATACAAAGATTGCAGTGACTCAATGCACATCCTTAAACGCAAACAAAATGGATCTTTAAAACACACTCAGGGGAGAGCATAGCTCAGTGGTAGAGCACGTGCTTAGCGTGCACAAGGTCCTGGGTTCAATCCCCATACCTCCATCAAAAATAAATAAATGAACGAATAAATATATAAATAAATAAATCTATCTCCCCCTACAAAACAAAACAAAAACCACACACAGTCACCTTGTCCAGCATGTTTGAATGAGAAACACTGTTCTGCCAATATCAGTCAGAGATGGACTTTGGACAAATCATCATTCAGAACTATTTAGTGGAACAATCAGGATGATGCCAACAAAAATCTGCAGCAGTATGTTTACAGAGCACTTTCAGACTCTATTTGTTGAAGAAAGAGCTAAGAAATTAATATAATGGAAGAAAGACAGATGGTGGTTTTGCTTTGGTGGGGTCTCTGTAGTCCCAACCCTGTCCTCTTGTTTGGGAGGCCCCGGATTTGGGGGAACGATCTCAGATTTGAACAAGGGAGTCTGACTAGCATGAACAAAAGTCATAAAATTTCACTTATGAAACAGTTATCAGTAGATGAGTTTACAATTAGGTGCCAAGGAAGGAGGACCAGCCATCATACTGGGTCTGATGAAAAATAAAAGTGCACAAGTAGGGGGAGGGTGTAGCTCAGTGGTAGAGCGTATGAGTAGCAAGCATGAGGTCCTGCGTTCAATCCCCAGTTCCTCCATTTAAAAAAAGAAGAAGGAAACTTAAACCTTGAGTTCTCTGGGCTGATGACTGGAATTGCACGATCCCAACTGACCACAATTTCTGAGGTTGCATCGCTAAATTTATTTCTTAACAGAACAGAATTGTTACTGACAGATCTCCTGAGTCGAAGAAATAGATTTTGATTTGGGAGGATGGGGTCTGTGTTTAAAATATTCATGTTATTTTTAAAAGTCACTAAAAAGACAGTGGCTGATAACCACTATATACAAAAATAAATAGAAAACAAATTTCTTCTGTATAGCATGGGGGACTTATTCAATATTGTACAATAACGTTTAATGAAAAAGAATATGAAAACTAATATACGTATATATATGCATGACTGGGGCATTATGCTGTGCACCAGAAATCGACACATTGTAACTGACTATACTTCAAAAAAAAAAAAAAAAAGACAGTGGCTGTTTCCTTCCCCAGTAGTTCTGTCATTGGCAGGTTTGTTCACTCCTAAGTCAATCACATTGTCTGCTGAGACTGTCATCACACCTGAAGATGGAGAGGAGCACATTACAAGCCTTCTGGCTTCCTTCCCGTATTATTTATCTTATGTACTTTTTAAAAATCTTAAATGTCCAGTTAAATGAGTCTATAAATAAACATGTACCTGGTAAGTCAAGTTATATACTGCAATTTGGGCAGAATGGGATGAAATATAAATTCCAAAATATAAATAAATTATACACAATGTGTATACAGCACAGCTATGTCACGACATTTCAAGACTCATGGTCTTATTTAATGACAGGCGCATCCTCATGCCACAGGCTGGTTTAGTTTGAAATTGCACCATCAATTTAGTTCAATTCAATTTGACATTTATTGAATGCCTTGAAAGGTAGAGAGAAAGGCACAGATTCTGCCTTTGGGTAGTTTGTCATCAAATCATGCATCCCCAGATCAGGTCAGGCCTCAATATTGTTTCTTTTAAAACAAGAAAATGAGGCATAAATATCAGGACACCAAGGGTTATTCGTGGATTATTTCGTTACCACTTTATTTTCTACTCAGGGCAATACTGAGCACTTCAACTATCACCGCAAAGGTTTCTGTGCTGTGCTTGTGAGTGGAACACGTGGAACACGTGTCTAAGATCTGAATGTGCAGATTTTGGAGAAGAGTTTGATTGAAAATAGGCATCTACTGTCTAGCACAGGGAACTATATTCAATGTCATGTAATAAGCTATAATGGAAAAGAATATGAAAATATATGTGTGTGTATTATATATATATATGTATAACTAAATTGCTTTACTGTACACCTGACACTGATACTGTAAATCAACTGCGCTTCAATAAAAAATAAAATAAAAAGAAAATAGGCATCTACTTGAATAAAAAATGGCTGGGATCTGTTGCTTTTGTCACTTTTTCTGGGCAGAATTGATCAGCAAAATCACATGCAATCATACATACATTCCCGAATTTTAAGTGGGATTGGTGAACAGATCGCATTCTCCCACTCTTTTTTGTTTGCCTGTTTAGTTGTTTGGGAACATTAAGCAGTAAGATGGTATGACTGTTTTGGACAAAAAAAAAAAAGTAAGACAACCATTACATTTGTCATGTAGCAATAATGGAAATGTATCTTTTTGAGAAAGATGCACACATTTCTTAGAGAAAAATTATTTAAGAATGATTGTTTAGCCACAGTCTATTATTTTCATCCTTAACCCCCACCCCCAACAATAATCATTAGATTCATAGCTGTTTTGAAAGGAAGACTGTAACTACCACACACAGGTGTACACAGAATGCAAATGGAGTATGAAAGGCAGAGTGACCCCATCTAAATTAAAGAAGTAGGGCTGCACTGAGATGGGTAGTCAGAGATCGCAGGAGGTTGGCAGAGGAAGAGGGGGCTTGCAGTTGGGGAATTTTAGCTTAGGGAACAGGAGAGCAAAGGCAGGAAACAGATGGCAGGAACTGAGACAGGACTTGAGGAGGCTTAGAAAATTATCTATTGGCGGTTGGCTCTGCTAATTGTATTGCTTTTCTGCCCTCTGCTGATTGAAACATGGAAGGGCAAATTTATTAAACCATGTATAGTTCTTTACATCTGGAGGATCAAGGTTCCTAATGAGAAACTGATAAAACATATGGAGTCTCCCCCAGAAAATAATCCACATAAAAACACAGTATTTTGGCTTCTTCTTTTTTTTTTTCCCCAAGTGGAGGACCTGGGAATTGAACCAAGTACCTCGTGCATAGTCAGCATGAGTTCCACCAACTGAGCTATACCCACTGCCCCCTAACACACAATGTTTTGCATATAACTTCAGTTGCTTCATGGAATCCCTGCCGTCTAAACTCTGAGCTTGTGAAGAACACATTTCTCTTGAGCCAGATATTTTTTTCTTTTTGGGGGGCAGGCGGAGGAGGGGGCAGTCTCTGTTTATAGCCCTATGTGTATAAGTACCTATGAACTCCTTCGGTGTTTTTTTCTTCTTTTACCTTGGTGGGGAGACAATTAAGTTTATTTATTTGCTTATTTATTTAATGGAGGTACTGGGGATTGAACCCAGGACCTCGTTCGTTCGTGCTAAGCACTTGGCTCTACGACTGAGCTATATCCTCCCCCGACACGAACTCTTTTGTAATATTCAGTTCCTTTTAAGGGACCGATTTCTCACATCGTCTATTTCTTTCCATTTTGGTATCTCCATGACAGGCTTATTA